TATTAACAGATATTCACTGAAGCAAGCCTGCCACGATATCATGGATTCGATATATTCTCCATTTGAAGCTTCGCTCTTTTCGATGGTGGAACTCCATCAGTCCCATCTTCAGCAATAACTGATGCCAACTGGAGTGAAAATGTAGGTGCGGCTGGGGTCCTCTGTTGAACCGGTGTCAAAGTCAAAGTTTGAACAGCCCCTAAAAATCACAGTGACATTAGCAATTAGATCAAAATACGAAATAAACCTGAGTCTACGTACCATCAATATTTCTAAAACGGACCTTATGACGCCAGGCGTTGACGAATTTCGGCTTCGTAGGGATGTTGCATTGTATATGCGTAAGTGGCACTGGAGGCGGCAGATCTTTCTCGTTGCCAGTAGCAATCTGGTGGAACCAGTCGCGATCTTCTCCAGTAATGATCGCCTGCGCTCTCGATGGAGGCACGCCTCGCAACTGCCAAACCGCGAATTGATGCTTGCATAAATTTCCATGCGAGCCGTCAGGACATTCGCACGAACCGACATCCATTCGAACCGTATAGAGCGGTGCCTCTGGATCAATACCACCAGGCACTTTGAACGTGACCGCATCTACTGACTGAATAACGTCGGCCGATTTCAAGTACGCGATCTTTCTCAGGAACGAATTTTGCAAGGTGTGTGGAAACGGGTTGCTAAGAAACTGTACCAAACGCTTCTGAAGGTACTTTTCCAGTCTGGAAGTAATCCGATCTAGCAGGTGTACAACGTTGTAGCATCGACGACCTCGTAGTACCTTCTCCTAAAGGATTAGATAGCATATCGCCTGGTCAAATGAAGTTTTATTTACTTTACCTTAAGGGCCTTAATTACAGCTCCAGAATTTATGCTCGTGTGTCCACGGACTTTCGGAGAGCGCCAGGCGAGGCAGTATTCCTCCCGTCGTTTCCAGAGACCGGTGAGATAACGAAGAAAATTGCCATAAGTCGCACGTAATGACCGTGAATTACGTATCTACCAAGTAAAATACATAAGTGATGTAGGAGAGGTGGTTTCTCTGTATCCTACTTCTAAATAGGTATCTTCAGCCTCAGAAATAGTGCGACACTGCATCAAACCGCACAAAATCTCTAAAAGTTCTTGTCGATGTTCCTCAGCGATTTTATTTTCCTCTTTTTTCAGCCACTGTTGTGCCATCACCTGCATTTCCAACTGACACAGACGAAGAGCACTTTTCGGCCACAACTATAAATATTCGATGTAAATGCTGGAAAAATCAATAAGCAATAAAACATACCTTGGAGAGAACATTCCTGAAGCCTTTCGAATTTTCTGTAATTATTTCAGCGGGACCTTGTCGAAACTTTTCGTCCGATATCTCAAAAAGCCGCTTCATGGCGGCCGCGAAAGTTTCAGTCCCGTGGTCCTCAGTTAAAATTACAGCGACAGGAAACGCCCCCGCAGGGGTGCCGACTAACAAAAAAGTCAAACGGGACGAACCTGAGTCGATACTGTCTGCTGTCTCCAAGAAAACTACGTCATCCATGTATCGCGACTCTTGTAATCGTCGCATTAATGGACTGACCAAGACCTTGAAACAAAAATACAAATAGAGCATTTTTGCAAAAGCAAAAAACATTGCCATACCACGGCAAACGGCTCTTGATTGATTGCTATTCTGAAACCTCTGCTTTTCAGTGTCTCGGCTTTGCCATATAACACCTGAATTAAAATGAAAGG